GCCTGGCTATTTTTTTTTTTGGTTGCAGCCATCATGGTTGTTTGGCGGCCTGGGCTGGATTCGAACCCGCCACCTTGAGTGTATGTGGCTGGCACCTTAGCCACTTGAGCCACAGGCGCTGAGCCTATTTTTAAATTTTTTATATTTAAATTTTTGATCTTTTGAATCATCCCAACATAAGCTGTAAGGTATGGATCTAGTGTCAAGTGCTGAATCATCCATTTTTCTACTATTGATTTAAAAGGTTTTCTTCATAAACTAAATTCCTGCATATATTAACGTGTAGAGGTAGGCAGGTCAGCTGAACAGGAAGAATGACAGCAAACCCCTGGAGAAGGACGACGTTGGAGAAACGTAACTGGAGCCGCACAGCCTTTCCTCTTCACTTGAGCTGAACTAACGTGTACGTGATAACTGTTGTACTGTCACCTAGGAGAGCTCCTGAAGGATTCTTAACCACCAGCCACACAGAAAACCAACAAGAAAGAGAAAAGGGTTTTTTAATACGCAAACTTTATATGGGGGCACAAAAATGCAATATATAAAAAGAAACCATTATTTTGTTAGTGACATTATTATCTCATCTAAGAACACAGAAATTATGTTATTAAGAAACAACAAAGGAAAAAAACTTAAACTGACTTTGTTAGGGGAAAGGTTGTTTATTTTGGCTCTGGTCATAGTTCCATCATATCTACTTTCTTTGTAAGTTCAGCTTCAATGGAATCCTAGAGGAAGAAACACCATAAAACAGATGCTTTAATTTCTAATGTTATTTATTTATTTAATTTTTTTTTTTTTTGAGATAGAGTTTTACTTTGTCACCCTTGGTAGAGTGCTGTGGCATCATAGCTCACAGCAATCTCTAGCTCTTGGGCTCAAGTAATTCTCTTGCCTCAACCTCCCAAGCAGCTGGGACTACAGGTGCCCACCACAATGCCCAGCAGTTTTTAGAGATGGGGTCTTGCTCTTGCGCAGGCTGGTCTGGAACCTGTAAGCTCAGGGCAATCCACCCACCTCAGCCTCTCAGGGTGCTAGGATTACAGGCGTCCAGCCTTTCTAATGTTATTTAAAATAAAGGAAGCAAAGCAGAAAAACATTTAAATAGAAATTTTAAAAACACTGTTATGAATATCAAGTATGTTTTTAGACATTCCCTTGGTTTTACAATTACCCTCTTTCCCTCAAAACCCTTCTCAGAAGATTTACATAAACATCCAAAGGGGAAAAAACCTTTAGAAGGATGAATCTGTACTGATATCTAAATAGATTTTTCTAAACCTTACTCCTAAAGTAAGTACTTCCACAAAATCTGTCATATCACCTCTTTACCATTTGTATTATCACTATCTTCATTACTTCTTATCTGGCCTAAAAATAGGCCAACTGGTTTCTACAGTTTTCTCTCTCTCTCTCTCTCTCTCTCTGGATCTACCCTATACATTGGTTATAGAATAATCTTCCTAAAGCACTAGCCTGATCAAAAAGTGTAGCTTTGAGGGCAGCTCCTGTGGCTCAAAGGAGTAGGGCGCTGGCCCCATATGCTGGAGGTGGCAGGTTCAAACCCAGCCCCAGCCAAAAACTGCAAAAAAAAAAAAAAAAAGTGTAGCTTTGATCACATTTCTCTCGAGATTAAAAAACTTTCAGTTATCCCTATAGCTTTTAAGTTCAAGCCTCTTTATACTGAAGGCGCTTTATATCATAAACCAATTGACCTCTTTCAGCTCTGTCTTACACTGTTTGCTCCTATGAAGTTGGACCTCATCACTTGCCACAGCTGAGAAGTCCTTATGACTTTGCTAATTCTTTCTGCCTAGAATTTTTTTTATTTTTTTTTTTTGTGACAGACTCTTACTTTGTCACCTCAGGAGAGTGCTGTGGCATCATAATTCATGGCAACCTTCAAACTCTTGGGCTCAACCGATTCTCTTGTTTCAGCCTCCCAAGTAGCTGCCATATAGGCACGTGCCACAACACCCAGCTATTTTTTTGTTGCAGTTGTCACTGTTGGTTAGCTGGCCTGGGCCAGGTTTGAACCTGCCAATTTTCAGTGTATGTGGCAGGAGCTGTGACCACTGTGCTATGGGTGCTGAGCCTGCCTAGAATATTCTAATATCTCAACACTCCTTTTTTCTACTATGATAATGTATGCAAAATATTAAAAAGCATAAAAGACCACTATGTTTTTTGTGTGTTATGTGTGGGGGTTTTCTGGTAAGGACTGGAAAACCTGCTAGAGAAATTCTAAAAGCTGTAACACTGCTGGTACTTTTTTTTTTTTTTTTTGAGAGAGGGTTTCACTCTGTTGCTCTAGGTAGAGTGCAGTGGCATCCCTGTAGCTCATTGCAACCTCCAACTCTTGGGTTCAGCAATCCTCCTGCCTCAGCCTCCTGAGTAGCTAGGACTATAAGTATGGGCCAAGATGCTGGCTAATTTTTCTATTTTTAGTAAAGACAGGGTCTTACTCTTGCTCAGCCTGGTTCAAATTCATGAGCTCAAGTGATCCTCCTCCCCCCACCTCCCAGAGTGCTAGAATTATAGGTGTGAGCCACCTGGCCCAGCCTAACCTATGTTTTCTAGTGGAAAATAATATATGTACATACACATTACCAAAGAAATACTAAGATGCATGGGAATGATACACAGCTAAGGAGAAAGGAAAGAAAGATGAAGGGAGTTTAATTAAATTAGCATTTCTCTCTCTCTCTCTCTCTCTTTTATTTTTGAGACAGAGACTCACTCTGTCCAGGATAGAGCGTGGTGGCGTCATCATATCTCAGAGCAATGTCAAACTCTTGGCTCAAGTGATTATCACATCTCAGCTTCCCAAGTAGCTGGAACTACAGGTGCCTGCCACAGTGCCTGGCTAGTTTTTCTATTTTAATAGACAAGTTCTCACTCTCTTTTTTTTTGAGACAGAGCCTCAAGCTGTCCCCCTGGGTAGAGTGCCATGGCATTACAGCTCACAGCAACCTCCAATTCCTGGGCTCAAGCGAGTCTCCTGCCTCAGCCTCCCAAGTAGCTGGGACCACAGGCGCCCGCCACAACGCCTGGCCATTTTTTGGTTGCAGCCATCATTGTTGTTTGGCGGGCCCGGGCTGGGGATTCGAACCCGCCACCTTAGGTGTATGTGGCTGGCGCCTTAGCCGCTTGAGCCACAGGCGCCGAGCCAATAGATAAGTTCTCGCTCTTGCTCAGGCTGGTTTTGAACTCTTGTGCTTAAGAGATCTGCCTACTTTGCCCCTCATAGTGCTAGGATTATAGGTGTGAGCTATTGCACTGGCCAGCATTTATCTCTTTTAAAAACATCTGAAGTTAAAAACCAAGATCTACTTACTAATTCTCGTTTTGCTTCTTCAATTTTCACTTGAGCAAGAGATGGATTCTTTTAGAGAAAAATAAAGCAAGGAAAGGTTATGTTGTCTCAATCCAGACTTAAGGGGTGAAAAGTATCACAATCATTTCAAAAGGCAAAAAATCTTATAGAGGGAATATCTGATATACATATAATACCAATATTCAGCACTTTTTTTTTTTGAGACAGAGACTCACTCAGTTGCCCCAGGTAGAGTGCTATGGCATCACAGCTCGCATCAACCTTAGCCCACTGCGTTCAAGCAATTTTCTTGCCTCAGTCTCCCAAGCAGCAGGGACTACAGGTGCCCACAACCAGGCCCAGCTAGTTTTTGTCTATTTTTTTTTTAGTAGAGACAGTGTCTCATTCTTGCTCAGGCTGGTCTTGAACCGCCTGCCTCTTGCTCCATTGTCCAGGCTAGAGTACAGAGCCATGATCATAGCTCACTGCAACCTCCAACTCCCAGGCTCAAGTGATCCTCCTGGCTTAGCCTCCTGAGTACGGAGGACTACAAGCTTGCACCACCACATCTGGGTAATTTTCCTAATTTTGTAGAGATGGGGGTCTTGCTATGTTTCCCAGATTGGTCTTCAATTCTTGGCTTCAAGTCAGTCCTCCTGCCTTAGCTTCCCAAAGCGCTAGGATTATACACATGAGCCACTATATCTAGCTAAACACTATCTTTAAATACGTGAACACAGATTATCCTCATGATCATGCAGTGCCCTTGGGGAAGGATGAAGGAAATGATTTTTTTTAATTCATTAAAAATAATTACCGGCATTAAGTCTAAATAGGACCCCAATTTTCTCTTCAAAGGTATAGTCTGTCGTTTTAACTCTGCCAATTTCTGGGGGTGAAAAAATAGAATCATAAGGTAATAGAAATATTCACAATGCAATTAAATATTATTCATTTCTGAAATAAAGCATAATAAAGCATTAATATTAGAATATTTTATTTTTATTTTTTTGAGACAGACCCTCACTGTGTCGCCCTCAGTCAGTAGAGTGCTGTGGTGTCACAGCTCACAACAACCTCAAACTCTTGGGCTTAAGCGATTTTCTTGTCTCAGCCTCCCAAGTGGCTAGGACTACAGGCACCTGCCACAACATCCAGCTATTTTTTGGTTGCAGCTGTCACTGTTGTTTTCAGCAGGCCCAGGTCGGGCTCAAACCTGCCAACCTCGATATATGTGGCCAGCACCCTACTCACAGAGCCTATGGGCACCAAGCCAATATTGGATTATTTTAAATAATATATCAAAGAGCTTCAAAGATAAATGGATAGACAAATCCACTCCCAATGGAAACAATATTTGTAATATGCATAAAATAGGAAAGTTATACTCCTGTTTATTAAGAATAGGATTGATGTACGCTATCTAAGAACACAAAAGAATGTCATTGAGAGGAATCAAAATGTAAAAGAACTAGGGTTTCCCATCCATACTTATGAATTTTCAACTTAAGATTCTAAAAATCAAAGTATAAAAAACTTAGGAATAACAAGATAAAACAAAACCCCTAATTTTATCTCCTCCCACCAAAATTTGTGAAAACTTTTATACAAACTAAACACTAAACGCGACTGCATGTGGTAACTACAGGAGTTTGGGGGCATCATTTTATTGTACACTAAAAGAGAAGAAAGAGGAGCACCTAGATGGTTAGCACATTGTTTCTCAACAAATTTGTTTAATAAATAAATCAAAGTATATAACTGGTTCTAGCAAAGTTTCTAGCCTATACTAATAAAGGAAACCAAACAATGTGAGGATATATATATATACATATATATAGCAGTCAAAAATAAAGATATAAATACTGGTGAACATAAAGTACAAAGGTAAACGGAAAGAAAGCAGATCTGTAGTGAATAACAGCCATATAAAAAGAAAAGAATGAGGGGTGACGCCTGTGGCTCAAAGGAGTAGTGCACCAGCCGATATGCCGGAGGTGGCGGGTTCAAACTCAGCCCCGGCCAAAAACTGCAAAAAATAGAAAAGAAAAAATGAAAGAGCAGATTGTAGACTATTATTTTTCAAAAAATTAAAATAAGCTCACCTCTGATAATGCTACTAGAGACTGATGAGACAGAGAAGCATCCATGCCTCTGGCTGAAAGCTGCTCCTAGAATTATAAGAAAGGGGGTTTAGTTAAAAAATTAATTTGGAAGTGATCATGAGTTTTTTTTGGTTTTTTTTTTGAGACAGAGTCTCACTTTCTTGTCCTTTGGTAGAGTGCCATGGCGTCACAGCTCACAGCAACCTCCAACTCTTGGGCTTAAGCGATTCTCTTGCCTCAGCCTCCCAAGGAGCTGGGACCACAGGTGCACACGACAACACCCAGCTATTTTGTTGCAGTTGTCACTGCTGTTTTTAGCTGGCCAGGGCTGGGTTTGAACCCACACCCTTGGTATATGGGGCCAGCACCCTACCCACTGAGCTATAGGCGCCACCCAATTGTGAAATATTTCCAACATATAACACAGTAACTAGGAGATATGAATCATAGAAGAAAAACTGTAGACACCCCTAAGCACTTCTATGTTACATGTGAATCCTTTCTACACTCACATATTTGTGACAAGATGTGTAGAATGCGTGCTTAAGGCCTGAGTTTCAGAGTCTGAATGCCTGAGCCTGAATCTGGATCTGAAGTTAACCATGTAACTGGATCTGCTTTGTAACCATGAGCAAATTACCTATTTTCTCTGTAGTCCCCTCATCTGTAGAAAAGGAATAATCTGATACTGCCTAGTTGTGAGGATGATGGTCGAAAAGAAGCTAACTATATACAATCTTTCATACAAACCTCTGCAGCTTTGATTCCGTATCTGAACTCCTCTGACTTTGCTTTCAGAAAGTCCATGTTCTGAAGACGATGGTCAACTTTGGCTCTTTCTGTACACAGATGCAACTCTGCTTTTTTGAGATCCCTTTGAAAAGTAAAATTAAAAACATCTTCTTCTCATCTTCAGTAAAATTATTATCTACAACTTTTTGGATTCAACTCTGGCTGAGCCAAAGTTAGATAACCCACTTGCTGGATTCCCTGCCATAAATTCTCTATCCCAAACCATCATGCATTCTTCTAGGTTATCTTCCCCTCCATTTGGGATTTTCCTCAAGAAATACAAAACAACTTTAAGATAAACCAGTTATTCTTAGAGAAAGTAAACCTGCCATTCAAAGAAAGCAATTTAATATATCCTAAAGTCAATTTGAAATAGGAAGTCCCAAAGACCTCCCTTACTCAATATGACATGCCATGCCATAGTGCCTTGCATATATCTATCTAATATTTTTGTTTGTTTGTTTTTGGCATTTTTTTTTTTTTTTGGCCAGGGCTGGGTTTGAACCTACCACCTCCGGCATATGGGGCCGGTGCCCTATTCCTTTGAGCCACAGGCGCCCCCTGTCTATCCAATATTTGTTGAACAAATTTATACACCACCAGATTACTTGTGCATATACATATGCTGGAGCCACTGGCTCTAATCTCTGGCACAAGAAGGACTTAAAGAAGGCCATAGCATGAAACAGGGACATAAGAGCTACAGATAGAAAGCACAACAAAATATTATGTGACTTTAAGTTGTATGGTAGTTTATAAGCAAAAAACCCACATGCATTTTGAAAATTATAAAACCACATTAAAAAAAAAGAAATCGTCTGAAGTAAAAGGTGAAAAAGGGCCATACCCACCTACCCCCACCTCCACTTAAAGTTGTACTTACAAAAATGTCTTACAAATTTCCTAATGCGTTTTTTTTTTTTTTTTTTTGGAAACAGAGTCTCACTTTGTCGCCCTCGTAGAGTGCTGTGCTGTCACAGCTCACAGCAACCTCCAGCTCTTGGGCTTAGGCGATTCTCTTGCCTCAGCCTCCCTCCCGAGTAGTTGGGACTACAGGCGCCCGCCACAATGCCCGGCTATCTAATGTGTTTTTTAAACCATACATACTGCCCAAACTAAATTTGACAATGTCCTGTTACTCCTTTCCAATAAAAACTGTCACCATTTTTAACTCAATTACTTACTCTTGCAGACATTTTTCTAATACTAAAGTTGCAGTTAGATTTTTTTCAAGTTTTTCCAGTTCAAGCTTGATTTCTTCATTTTTAGATTTGGTACGAAAAAGATTAGAGGTCAAATCATTCACTGCAGGGATAAAACTAAAAGAAAACTCTGGTCACATAAATGGACATTAAGGACAGTAATTATAATGTTTCTTCATTCCTAAGCATGATTTTATCTCTGTGGATTCTTATATAACCACACTGTTTATACCTTTATGCATTTTTTACGTGCCATTTCCATTTCCTGGAATACCTTTCATCAGCTGGCCTCTTTCAAAACTTGAGATCTACCCTCATGCTGCAATTCACTGCCCCTTCTTCTGTGTTTCCCAGCTACCACCTGTCCATTCTTGAACTGCTGTAGGGGTCAGACCATGCTACACTTTTACTTCTCTATCTTCCTTATCCACCATGAGCAGAGACTGTTCCTGAAGGTTGTTACTACCTTATTCATCTCTGCATCCCCAGTGATTATACACTAGCATACAACTGGTAGCTGGCATCTGCCAAACTGATTTAATTCTATCAGTGTTCCAAAAGTCACCCCTAAAGTTGCCATACATAAGAAAAATAGGAAATTGCAGCTAAATGTACCTTTATTTACAAAATATTCTCTATGCCTTGGCCACTTCTTTGTAAAATTTTGTAATGAATATTTTATAAATAAAGCTACATGTAGAGGCTGGGCATGGTGGCTCACGACTGTAATCCTAGCACTCTGGGAGGCCCAAGTGGATGGATTGCTTGAGCTCATAAGTTCAAGACCAGCCTGAGTAAAAAGTAAAACCCTGTCTCTACTAAAAATAGAAAAACTGAGGCAAGAGGATTGCTGGAGTACAAGAGTTGGAGGCTGCTGTGAGCGATGACACCACAGTACTCTACCCAAGGCAACAGCTTGAGACTCTGTCTCAAAAATAAATAATAAAATAAAATAAAGGTACATTTAGCTCTAATTTGCCACTTTCCCTATGTAGGGCAACTTTAGGGGTGACTTTTGGGAAGTCCTATACATTTCTGCTGCCATATAGCCTACATGTTCTTACACCTAAAACTGTGACAGAGTCTCTCATTTTGTCACCCTCGGTAGAGTGCCATAATGTCACAGCTCACAGCAATCTCCAGCTCTTGGGCTCAGGTGATTCTCCTGCCTCAGCCTCCTGAGCAGCTGGGAACACAGGCACCTGCCATAACACCTGGCTATTTTTTGTTGTAGTTTGGCCGGGGCCAGGTTTGAACCCCCTGCCACCCTCAGTATATGGGGCCGGTGCCCTACTCACTGAGCCAGAGGCGCCTCCCCTAAAACTTCTCTTTCGGCTC